CGACCTGAAAGTATGAGGAGGCCGGCCAGGGACGACGCACGGGCCTCAATGAACATTAAAATATTCTCACTTGGGAGGTCATCATTGGGCGATGGGACAGGTAATCATGGCCTAGCCCCCTACCCGCCTGCCTGAGTCAACAAAGCCATCCAGCATTAAATGCCCCCCATGCTGGCATTTAATGCCCGTCAGGCAATGATTGAAGAAACCTCAAATCGCATTAAATAACCGTCAGACGGACGCCGAACTGCCCTGCCAAATTACTGTGCGACAAGTCCAGTGAACAGTAGCTGAATAGTGCCACATTAAAGACCACTATAAATAGCTGCTCACCTCATTTATTTTGGGTTGTTGAAATTCAACTAACTCTGCCTTCTCTCTATTTTCCCTCTCTACAAACTGTAAGAAACTCATTGTAAGAATTGTAAGTATATCGCAAGTGCTGACCTCGTACGAGAGGCCGACCTCGTGATCGTCTAATAAAATCGTAATTAAATCGAATTATTCTCCCCTTTTTCAGTCTTGCTTTCAATACCCTTTATTTTTAACCGTTGACCGAAAACGCTCGTCAACATACTTTATCGTTAAGTTTTTCATTGCAATATAGCAATTTTTTGTAGTCCTCTGAAACATTAATTTTTTACGTATTATTTATTGATTAATTGTGTTTACAATTTTACTACTAAAAATATATTAAACGCGTGAACTTTTTAGTTCCTATATTTTTTTTCTTCAGAAATCACTCATTATTTTATGTCAATGTTACCTATTAATCTACTAATTGAGTTACATTTCTTACATATACAATATTAAATAATGTCTTATTTTATATGTTCAATATAATATTAATATATTATATTAAAAGAAAACTAATATAGTAAATAAAAATTTATTTAAAATTAGAATAATAAAGATATTTTTTTTTCTAACCTACGTGGATAAATGTACAAATAACTATTGTCTATCACCTCAAATTTACATATAAAATTATTAAGGACAAAAAACAAACAAGCGTTTAACAACTCAGCTCGATTACATCGATAAGTATATTTTTAGAAGGTTTATTTAGTTATATTAATTATAATATTTTTGTTTATTACTTTGTTCATAATTAGTACGTGTCACAGTTTAGTTATTTATCATATTATTTATTACATTTAATTTTTTTTGTAACTTTATCTTGTTCGTTCTTAACTGTAGATTTGTCAAAAAAGGCATAATATAAAGTATAAAATTTTTTCGATCATCTATCTCATTATATATCAATTATTTGTATATCATATATTATATAATATTTAGTTACAAATTTTTAATCAATATTTTAATTAATATTTATAATTCTTAAATTCATTAATAATATAGTCGAGTCAGCTTTTGTTCATAATTTTTTTTTTAAAATATATTATTTTCAATGATTTGCTTATGTTGAATTGAGAAAAGTTATTTTTTTAATTATAACTGTATTGATGTGTTAAACATGTATTACAGATGAGAAAGATGACAAATTATGAAAATTATAATTTTTATAAATTATAATGACATTATGTTATTTTATTGGTATACTTTTTCTATTAACTAAATAATGCATCACGTATGAAACTATTGTGTATCCACCACTGCAGGTACATTTGTAATAGAACTTCCATTAAAATTTTTACAACTCAAGTGACATTTTTTCCAATTGTTGAAATATGAGCCGAAAATAATTCAAACGAAAATTCATACAATAATAAATAGTGGTAATTGAAATTATTAAATCCACTGAAATTTAAATATAATGTAATTTGATCTCTGTTGGAATAGTCGACGAAATTTTACAATGACAGCTATACAAATAAAATATCATTTAGAAATTTCAGTTAATGTCTTACCGTTGGATTTATCATTGTAATGTACCATTTTTTATTCCTTTATATGATATAATTTTTATGTAGGAGGTTTTGTTATTAATTAATTGAATTTATAATTTTTCTATTAAAAAAATATTAAACACGTGAACCTTTTTGTCTATATAATGTTTGTAAAAATCGCTCATTATTTTATCGCAAGATTACCTATTGATTTATCAATTGGGTTACATTGCACTTACATATTAATTTAATGAAAAGTATTATTGTATATATATACAATTCTAATCAATTTATTTCAATGCAGACTCAGGGCAAGTCCTAATCAAACAAGAGCACGACCAATGCATCTCAAGAAACAAATAAGGCTCAAACCTCACTAGATAGATATATGAGTTCCAATCAAAGTAATCAACCAAGCATTTCATCACGCTATGCCGCATATGACCAACATCACAACTCATCGAATTCATCAAACAAGTCTTATATAATCTTGAAATTTCCAAAGTCCATACTAAAAAATACACAAAACTCTAATGAAAAGTATTATTGTATATATATATAATATGGTATTTATATGTTATATTAAAAAAATTAATAGCAAATAAAATGTTATTTAAAATAAAAATAACTAATGTTTTTATGAAAAATAAATTACTAACCTACATGGATAGAAGTATAAATAACTATTGTCTATCATCTAAAATTTATATACATAACTAATAAAATTAACACGCGGTGAACAATTTGACTCGTTTCCATTGATAAGTACAAATTTTAAAAGTTCTATAATTACTTTTACTAATTATAATATTTTTATTTATTACTTTTTTTTCATAGTTATTAGTAAGTGTTACAACTTTATTATAAATTTAATATTATTTATCAAATTTAATACTTTTTACTTTATATTGTTCTTTCATATGTTTTTTATATATGTGTGTGTGTGTAACTTTTAGGTTTGTTAAAAAATACATAAAATTAAGTATAGCACTATTTGGGTCATATGTTATATTTATATAAATTAATTTATATCTTTTTATTATATTATATAAAATTTTAATCTTCTCATTTATACTCAAATATATAAATATTTTATTTCGTACATTTTTCTAAAACCATTTTATTATAATAACACATATTAATAGATATATGAGTAATGATAATATACAAATATAATATTTTTTATAAGAAAATTAATTTTCAACATGTAGGCATATCATGATTCTCGAGATATTTTTAATTAATTTGTAGATAATTATATGGTCAAAATTACATGTTGCTAAAGTGGTATCTCATTAGACGTGAAAAAAATAGATTAAGTTTTTGTATTCTACAATTTCATAAATCTTATGTAGCAAAGAAGTTGAATAGATTAGAAGTTTAGGTTGCAAAACAATCATTCAACAATTAATCTCGCATACTATCACAAATTTTTTATAGGTTATTTTGAAAATAATGTTTCTATACTTTGTGTTCGTTATGAGAAAAAACAATATCGATTTCTTTAAAGAACTTTCATATATTAGAATTATGAAATGTGATTACAATTTTGCCATTAAAATTATATTGAAATAATGGCGTTTTTCAAAACAACAATTTCATATCTTATCAAACAATTTTAGAGATATGTGGAAGAAAACAAATATATTTTAGGAGTGTGGAATGATTTGTTCATGTATTTGCATTTAATTAACTAATTAGTTATTAATTTATAATATAAGATATGATGGACATTATTATATTACTAATTTGTCATTAAAAACATGTCAAAGTAAAGTTTTTTAGTTTTTTTTAATTAAAAATATAACAGAGAAAATTGAGAGATCGTGAATTCCGATGTATTTATTTAATAATAATTATGTTTGTTAGAAAAATTATATTACAAATTTGTCATTAAGATATGACAAAGTAAAGGTCTTTTTGGTATTAAATATTTTTACAAAAATACTTATTCTTTTAGAGTAGTATAGATAGATTAAATTTCTATGTGTTTAAGGAATGATGATTTTGTATGTGAAATTTATTGCTAGAACTACTGCATATAATATTATTATTTAGTTAAATATTCTTATTTAGTGAAATAACGGTCTAACCGGCTAAAATACTGGTCATATATTGTGAAACATTCTAACAAAACGTCTGGAAATAACTTAACTCCACGGACAGATCCACTAAACGGTATTGTGTTCACAAAAAATCTCCGAAATTTTAACAAATAAACAAACAAACTCGTCAAAAATCAAACCACAACAACATTCCCAAAAAATGAAATAAATTCCCCCCCTTCTCAGGGCAAGAATCTCCTCCTAATCCTTGAAATCTGATCAATGCTCAGCCCGAAAGCCCTCTCCAGAAGCCCGTCGTCAATCCCCGAACCAAACAGCACGTTCGGAATCTTCATCACCCCCGGGTTCTGCCCGTTAAAACACCCGAAAACCACGGCCCGCCCTTTCCCGACGTTCATCTGGAAATGCACAAGCCCTCTCGGGAAAACCATGACCTCGCCCTTCTCGACGACCTTCGCGAAAACCCGGTTGGTCGAGTCCACGAAGCCAGAGTACACCCTTCCTTGGAGAACATACACGGTCTCGGTGGCCCGGGGATGGAAATGTGGGGGGTTCATGCCCCCGGGCTCGAGCTCGGCCCGCACGAAGGACATGCCGAGCGTGTTGAGGCCCGGGAAAGTGGCTGCCGTGACCGGAAAGGCCGAGAGGCCCGTGTCGGTGAAATTTTTGTCGGGCGGGTTTTTTAGGCCGGAGAATATGAAGTCGTCCGGGGTGACTAATCGGGGGTTCTTGCAGGGGCCTAGGATTGGGTCGGTGCTTGGGATGCAAAAATCTTGGACTTGGTCTGGGTCAGAAGATAGTGTCATTGGAGTATAGAGAATGAGGAAAAGTAACAAAATTGCAAAATGATGGTACATTTTTTCTTGGGAAATAGTTTTTTTTTAGGCAAGGGGAGTTGTGAATGGTTTTATAGAGGGATGCCTGGAATTGTAGAATTGAATTTATTTAATTTTTTTTTGTTTATTTAAAAAATATATGTAGTTAGTATTTAGCGGTTTTGCTATGGAGTCAACGGTTGGCTTTTTAGTGGAGCCAACCTTCTATATACAACAAGTAAACCTATCATGTTCTATGATTACTTAAATAACATTAATATAATTTTATTAGTATGGTATGTTTGTTTGTTGTATATAGAAGGTTGACTCTACTATAAAGCCAACTGTTGGCTTTATAGCAAAACCGTAGTCTCACTACAACAAAATAGAGTTCTAGTGAAGAATTTTTTTTCACTATGTTGTCACTATATCTACTGTCACTATATCTACAGTTGTTGTCACTATATCTACAACAATTGTAGATATAGTAACAATAATTGTAGATACAGTGACAACAATTGTAGATATACTGACAGTAGATATAGTGACCACAATAGTAGATATAATGATAATTTTTTTTTTCACTAGAACTTTATTGTTTTGTAGTGTCTTTAGATGAGTGCATAGGAGTATAGGACAATACTTGTGGACCTGAGGATGTCTTATTGTGAGAAAAAGAAGGGTAAGTAGGATTATGAATTATAATGGCTAATCATTGTTGTTTTTGCCTTTTTTTGGTGCGATCGGCGCATATGTTGTTGGGAAATAATGCATTTGGAATGGAAGTTGTTTTATTCATCTTTATCCTTAACCTAACTCAATTTAATCTAACTCAATTTAATAATTAAAAATTATTTTTCTCTCTTCTATATACACAATCAATTTTTCAACTTAATTAATCTTTATCCTCAACCCAACTCAATCTAAATATTTATTTTAATTTACTTAAAAATTATAATTTTATTCCAAAATATATCAAGTGTGGTCTCTATTTGTAGAGAATGAAAAAAATATGTATTTTAATATCTTTTTTATTTTTTTATTTCTTTTTTAAAAAAATACACTTATCCAATCAAAACAGGACAAATGTCCCATTTTAAGTCACGACCCAAGGTCACAACGGTAAATTTTCACGCCTTCCCTTCTTTTTTTTTTTTTTT